CTTTCTAGAACAGTGACTGACATAAATACTACATCTAAGAAATTTCGTGAGGATTCATTGAAATGTCTAGTAGCTGACTAGAATCGATGTACAAGAAATATTAGTTCCCTCTCCTCTATGGTGTGATTATACCTACTCACGTAGGAGGAGAATATTTGTTAACTAAGACTGCTGTTGGTAGCTCCAAGGGGTGAGCAGAAAATCACTGTTGCATTTCTCCCGAATCTTGATGTGGCCAGTAGCTGAATCTATCATTTTAGTGGAACTGGTGCACATGTTTGGTTTGTGGGAATGTAAAGTGGGGCGACAACATAGCATATTATTTTGATGTAGAACGTGGCTTTTATTCTTTTGGCATCTGCCCTTGCCAGCAGGAACACTCAGATATTTTCTAGTCTGTGTTTGCTTTGTTGCCTTTGGAAGATAGCCAACCCTGACTAATTCTGCTTTCTTTATTCTGCAACTAACAAGGCCCCTACGCCTCCCTCATCAGTGAATGCTATGGTAATAGAATGCAGGGAAACAAGATGCAATGTTGAAAGCTCTCTGTGGCTCACAGGGTGGTGTGGCTGAGGTAATTATCCTGCATGTCCATCAAGGCATATCCTTGAGAGGGCTAAAATAATTGAAGTCCAACGCCCTCTTCCTCTTCGAAACGTAATAGCTTACACTGTTATTATTCATAAGATTCCTTCTCTGGGTGGACTTGAATTGGTCTGGGCTGAGATGCTCTCTTCATATAAAATGAGTTCTTGGTGTAACTTCTTTCTGATACATGATGAGTCTTTCTAATACACTTAGTTTCTCTAGACAAGCCAATGTAACAAAGAACAATAGATCAATTTTGTGTTGTGTTTTGTCTCCCAATTGAGGAACTAGAACATTCCGAATGTTAATCTCTTTCCATGGCTGTCTTCCGACTTTGAGAGGTAACCATCATCCTAGATGGGGTGTATCCCATCACCTTGCTTCGGCAGCCACTGTGGCATTCCGTCTTGTAGAGGGTCTCCCTGGCTGATGAGCTCCATGATTTTCCCCTCGCCTGGACTGCTTCCCTAAGTTGTAACAACCTGCTGAATAGACACACACATGTTGCTGTCAGGAGCCGGCAAGTCAGTTCCAACGGAGAATGACCCTCGGGACAAAAGAACAGCACACTGCCTGGTCCTGCATCATCCTCTCCACAGTTGTTAGGTTTGAGCCCTTTGCTGCAGCCACTGTGGCAATCTATCTTGTTGAGCGTCTCCCTCTTTACTGTCTACCCTCTGCTTTACCAAGCACAATGTCCTTTTCTTAGGGACTGGTCTTTCCTGATGACATGTCCAAAATCCATGAGACCAAGTGTCGCCATCCTTACTTCTAAGGAGCATTCTGGCTGTGCTTCTTCCCAGACAGATTTGTTTGTTCTTCTGGCAGGCCATGGTATACTTTTAATAATTTAAAATGTGATAATTCATCAATTCTTCAGTGGCCTTCATTTTTCACTCTCCAGTTTTTATGAGGTGTCTGAAAATATGATGGCTTACTTGGGTCAGGTCCACTTTAGTCCTCAACTCCTAATATGTTCACTAAAAAAACAAAAAAAATTTAAAGTGGCCCCGTAAATAATTTGATTTATTTACTGCTATTTCCAAGAGCATTGATTATGGATCTAAGCAAAATGAAATCCTTGACAACTTTAGTCTTTTCTCCATTTATTGTGATTTTTGTGTAATGGTCCATTTGTGTGGATTTTTGTGTTCCTTATGTAACCCGTAATGAAGGTTTTTAGTTTTCATAACCAAGTGCTTCAAGTCCTTCTTGCTTTGAAGCAAGGTTCTGTCATATAAATGTGGAAGGTTGTTCATAAGCCTTCCTTTTTTTTTCTTCTTTAAATCATTTCATTGGGGGCGCATACAACTCTTATTACAATCCATCCATCCATCCATTGTGTCACGCACATTTGTACATTTGTTGCCATCATCATTTTCAAAACATTTTCTTTCTACTTGAGCCCTTGGTATCAGCTTCTCATTTTTTCCTTCTCTCTCCTTTTCCCTCCCTCCCTCATGAACCTTTCATAATTGATAGATTATTATTTTTTGTCATGTCTTACACTGACCAATGTCTCCCTTCACCCACTTTCTGCTGTCCGTCCCCCTGGGAGGGGGTTATATGTAGATCCTTGTGATCGGTTCCCCCTCTTTCCCCCCACCTTCCCCTTCCCCTTTCGGTATGGCTACTCTCACTATTGGTCCTGAGGGGTTTATTTGTCCTGGATTTCCTGTGTTTTGAGCTCTTCTCTGTACTCGTGTACATCCTCTGGTCTAGCTGGATTTGTAAGGTAGAATTGGGGTCATGACAGTGGGGGTGTGGGGGGATGGGGAGGAAGCATTTAAGAACGAGAGGAAAGTTGTATGTTTTAGTGGTGCTATACTGCATCCTGACGGGCTCGTCTCCTCCCCGCGACCCTTCTGTAAGGGGATGTCCA